TGATTCTTTCTCATCATGGATGTTTCTATCTCTCTCTTCCTCTCCCTTCCTCTCCGAAATCAATAAAAATATATTATAAAAAAAAAGTAGTGGTTTGGGCTCGAAAACAGTAGTGAATGGACTAGACACCAACATGAACATACAGAGATGTTGAGGGCCTCATGAAACAATTGAAAGGATTAAAATGTTATATTATTATTATTTTAAAATAGGTTTTTATTAGGGTTTTTTAGAAGGATATAAAGGGAGGGAGGGAGAGAGAGAGAGAGAGAGAGAAACATGGAGAGAGAGAGAGAGAGAGAGAGAGAAACATGGATTGGTTGCCTCCCACACACACCCGCAACCCAGGTATGTGCTCTGAACAGGAATCGAACCTTCAACCTTTCGGTTCACAGGACAATGCTCAACCATGAGCCACACTGGCCAGAGCTAAAATGTTTTATCTGTATATATAAAAGCCTGAGCAACTGGCCAAGCGGCCAGTACCTATGACACACACTGACCACCAGGGGGCAGACGCTCAATGCACAGGCATGGAAACTGGAACAGACTGATGAATCTCAGAGGGAAGAGATTAACCAAAGATCTTATATGCATACTAGAGGACCGGTGCATTGGTGGGGTCCCTCAACCAGGCCCGCGGGATTGGGCCAAAATCTGCTCTCCAACATCCCTCGAGGGGTCCCAGATTGCAAGAGGGCACAGGCCAGGCCGAGAGACCCACTGGTGCACCGTCTGGGGCCAGGGAAGAACGCAGGAGGTTGGCCAGCCAGGGAGGGCTCGCGGGAGGGCTCTGGGGCATGTCCAGCCTGTCTCGCTCAGTCCCAATCGGTTGGACCTCAGCAGCAAGCTAACCGACTGGTCGGAGCATCTGCCCCCTGGTGGTCAGTGCACATCATAGCGAGTGGTTGAACAGCTTTAACATATCATTAGCATACTAGGGAAAGGAAGCTGGGCATTGCTATGTGATGACATTACCTAGCGCCCACAGCCACCGTTTCTAGGCTGGGCTGGGGGCCACATTTTGCACCATGGGGTCTTGGCGGCATTGGCTGTGATTTGGTGGGGCTGTTGCTCCGGGGTGGTGGCGGGGCCTGTGTCCCACTTGGGGGAAGCTGAGTGTTGCTTTGTGGGCGCCAAATCCTTGGTGCTGTTTCTCTATAATGGCCAGTGCGTGTCATGGCAGCTCCTGTGTTGAGCATGTGACTCCTTGTGGTCAGTGTGCATCATAGCTACTGGTCAGACGGACGTACACTTAGCCCTTTATATATATATATAGATTACGCTTTGATTGGTTGAATGGACAACTTAGCATATTAGGCTTTTATTGTATAGGATATATATAAAAGCCTAAGCAACCAACCAGTCAACTGGTCGCTATGTCGTGCACTGACCACCAGCGGGCAGATGCTCAATGCAAGAGCTGCCCCCTGGTGGTCAGTGCGCTCCCACGGCCAACCTTCCATGGTCCTTCCCCCGGGCCGGCGGGCCCCAATCAGCCCCGATTGCCGGCCAGGCCGAGAGACCCCACCTGTGCATGAATTCATGCTCCAGGCCTCTAGTTATTAATAAAAGTAATAATAATAGTCACTATTTATTAAGAGCATACATTGATTCAGCCTGCAGAGTAGATGATGATATTCCCTTTCTACAGATGAGGAGCCTGAGATTCAAAAAAGTAAAACACTTCGTGTGAGGTCACCCCACCATAAAGGCAGGATTCATACTCGTCTTGTACTTCAGTTAATAGCACTGTACCGTTAATACATTGTTCTAATTAATTTCCAAAGGCCATAGTTCTTTCCATTTATCTACATCAGGGCCAGCAGACTTTTTCTGTAAGGAGATAAGAGTAACTATTTTAGAGTTTGTGGGCTGTATAGTCACTGTTGCAGAGACTCAACACTGTCATAGAGTGAAAGCAGCCGTATGCTATACGTAAATGAGTGGGCATAGCTGAGTCCTAACAAAACTTTATTTACAAAGTTAGGTGGTAAATGTAATGTAAGATTGGGACCCTGGACAGTAGTTTGTTGACCTCTGATCTATATCTTGTAAGTTTAATGAGATGCTAGCTGACAATAAAAGCCTTCAGGATAACCCAAAAGTTAGAATGAATAGCAAACAAATCTTTATAAGGATTCTTGGTGACCAAAGTATCCTTAAAATACAGTAACTGAAAAACCTTGAAGCTGCAGGTGCTGCAGGAAAAGAGCCAGCCTTCAAATGTGCCAAATACTGTCATTTATGAATTATTCATTAGCTTTAAAGTAACCTCACCTGTATTCTTCAGAACTGTCAAGCCTGTAGCAAACAAGGACCAAATGCTATGTGGTATGCTGGTTTGATCCTAGAGCAGAAAAAAAGGACATGAAAGGAAAAAAATATTAGTGAAATCCAAGCAAAGCTTGTCGCGGAGTTAACAGTCTTGTGTCGATGTTAATGTCTTAGTTTTGATAATGCACCAGGGTTATATACGATGTGAGCAGGAGAACTATGTGAAGGGTATACAGGAACTCTCTTACTACCTTTACAACTTTCCTGCAAATCCACAATTATCTATACTAATAAAAGGGTAATATACTAATTAGATTGGACATCTTCTGGACATTCATCCGGATGTCCTTCTGGAGAAAGCCACAGTGGTAGGGCCGAGGCAGAGATGGTTAGGGGCGGTCAGGCCAGCAGGGGAGAGCAGTTAGGAGTGACCAGGCTGGCAGAGGGCAGTTAGGGGCGACCAGGCCAGCAGGCCAAGGTGGTTAGAAGTTAATCAGGCAGGCAGGGGAGAAATTAGGGGCATCAGCCTGGCAGGCAGAGGGGTAGGGGTGATCAGGCAGGCAGGCAGGTGAGTGGTTAGGAGGCAGTGGTCCTGGATTGTGAGAAGGATGTCTGACTGCTGGTTTAAACATCTGCCGGTTTAGTCGGACATCCCCCAGGAGTCCCGGATTGGAGAGGGTGTAGGCCGAGCTGAAGGACCCCCCTCCCCCCCGCCCCGCTTCACATACATGAATTTTGTGCACCAGGCCTCTAGTTTCAAATAAAAAGCTAACATGCATTTATTTATTTATTGACATTCCTAAACTTACTCCAGTGTAGAGAAGCCCAGGATCTATGTGAGGGCAAGGTGAATGCTGAGTCTGAAAGTAAGCCCAGTTAAGCTGAGACCTTAGTCTTAAAAATTATACTTACTTTGAGTCCATTGAGTCACCAAAAGTGGACTTTAAACTTTCGGAGCCTCAGTTGCCATTGAAACAATATGGTGCTGCTATTCGTGCACTGATAATGCCTCTCGTAGAGAAATTAACTGCTCTGTGAAGACAACAGAGCTGTTTTTATGGCACGAATGTGGACTGAGAGTTGGCTTGTTCCAAAGGTTAAGATTATGCAGAGATGAGCAAGAAGAGTGGAGCCGGTGAGAGGTCATTTACAAAGAGTGTTACCACCCAGCTTCCTAAACACGGACTGATGTTACTGCTCAGTAAGCAATATGAACACGATCAGCCACTTTTCCCAGGTGCCTTTTTATTTACAAAAGAGAAGAAAGTCGATCTTAGGCTTCATGTAAGCCTGATACTAAAACCTTATATAGATCACATAATAGGACGGTAGACTAATGTCACCTGCAAGATACATAAATCACAGATCAAATATTACCAGAGAATTGTGCAATGGAGCTTTAACAGCATGATAATATGGGGGTTATTCAGGCATGTAGGGTTGTTTCAATGTTTGGGAATCTGCTATTATAACAGTAGTGCATTAAAATTTTTAAAGTAAGCATATAGCCATCTTATTGAATACAGAAACAGCATTTGATTTTTTTTTTATTTTTATTTCTTTGGAGAAACTTAGAGAATTGAAAAGACACATTACTATGATTTTAAGAAACTCATCTCAGCCCTGGCCAGGAGGCTCAGTTCATTGGACCGTCATCCTGTACACCAAAAGGTTGAGGGTTCGATTCCCAGTCAAGGCACATACATAGGTTGTGAGCTCAATCCCCAGTAAGGAGCATGTAGGAGGCAGCCAATAGATGATGTTTCTTCTCTCTACCTCTGCCCCTTCCTCTCTCTCTCTAAAATCAATAAGAACATATTTTTTTTAAAGTTCATTGCAGTGCTAATTTTAATGCTAAACATTAGGAAAACTCATTAACAATAGGAACTGGTCAAAGAAACTAAAGCATACCATATATAATGGCCTATGTTACTTCAATATTATAATTGATGGCATATATGTATACATGGGAAGATGAATAAATTATAGTGAGCAACTCAGGAACAAAATTGTGTGCATGTGTTTTTATATCTCTGAGGTAATTTGATACGTTTCATTTTTTAATTTCTACTCATGTAAAATTGCTAACATAGATTATTTTTAGTGGTAAGACTGTATCAGCTTTGTTCATTTTTATATTTCTTCCAATGAGCATCTGTCCCAATCCAATTTTAGAAAATTTAGGAAAATTTTAATCATTTTTAATAAAGGACTTTTTAAAATTTACTCCACCCCTCTCATTGAAAAAAAAAATGAATTTTCTATAGTGGTTGTTTATGAAAGCAATTTTTATAACTGGAAAAAGATATAATAAAAATGTCCCAAAATAAGGATCCGTCTGATAGGCTGCTACACAGGAAAAGCAGCTGGGAGGAGAGGGAGCAAACCATTCGCCGTAGCTCCCCGTGACTTCGGCTCATGCGTTCTTTTCCTTTTGTCTTATTCCTCTGTATTTCCCACATGTTCACTAGTGCACATATTTCCTTTTGCTTCGGAACAAAGTGTATTTTTAAAAGCCTAAACTAACGTCATCTTGTGATCGTCAGCCACATAAATATTATTTTTTAAATGGAGCGGCTAAATTTGGTGCTACCCAAAACCACATGTTCCCTTTGTGCGCGCGCACCTGCGCCTGCACCTGGGCGTCTCCGGAGGCAGGCTCTGCTGCCCGGGGTGCCGCCGGGGCGACCGGAAGCTAACCTGCGGTGTGCTTGACCTTGCAGGTTGCCTCGGGGGAGTGCAACGAGGACACGGAGGTGTACAACATCACCCTGTGCACCGGAGACGAGCTCACGCTCATGGGGCAGGCGGAGATCCTGTACGCGAAGACCTTCAAGGAGAGGTCGCGGCTCAACACCATCTTCAAGAAGATCGGGAAGCTCAACTCCATCGGCAAGCTGGGCAGGGGCAAGATGCCCTGCCTCATCTGCATGAACCACCGCACCAACGAGAGCATCAGCCTGCCCTTCCAGTGCAAGGGCCGCTTCAGCACGCGCAGCCCCCTGGAGCTGCAGATGCAGGAGGGCGAGCACACCATCCGCCACATCGTGGAGAAGACGCGGCTGCCCGTGAACGTGACCGTGCCCAGCCCGCCGCCCCGGAACCCCTACGACCTGCACTTCATCCGCGAGGGCCACCGCTACAAGTTCGTCAACATCCAGACCAAGACGGTGGTGGTGTGCTGCGTGCTGCGCAGCAACAAGGTCCTCCCCATGCACTTCCCGCTGCACCTGACGGTGCCCAAGTTCAGCCTGCCCGAGCCCCTGGGCCAGGGGGACCTGTGGCCCGAGGCCCTGGTGCACCACTGGCTGGGCGTCTGCCAGGAGCAGTTTGACATCGACGAGTACTCCCGGGCCGTCCGCGACGTGAAGACCGACTGGAGCGAGGACTGCAAGAGCCCCAAGAAGGGCCGCTGCCCCGGCCACAGCCACGTGCCCAGCTCGCTCAGCTACGCGCGCGACGAGCTCACGCAGTCCTTCCACCGCCTCTCCGTCTGCGTCTACGGCAACAATCTCCATGGCAACAGCGAGGTGAACCTCCACGGCTGCCGGAACCTGGGGGGCGAGTGGGCCCCGTTTCCCCACGACATCCTGCCCTATCAGGACCCGGGGGACAGCGGAGGGAGCGACTACCT